TATACAATCACTACGCTTCTTAGAACTAGAAGACTCTTCTCTAAATACATAGTATATTAGTCGCTGTTTCAGTATGTATGTGTATCTATGACTATGAGGACATCCAGTGAAGATTTCAGTAATGTCACGTTAACTTGACCTACTACTTTCTTGAACTTGTACATTATTTGTACATGTGTACGAAAAGATATAAATAACTGCCACTGCTGGATTTTGTCACTGCCCTCATCTCGACAACAAAAGTATACCTAGTCTGGATACGCCACAGATAGCGATAAAGATGCGGGACGGCATCGTGAACAATGAAGAGTAGTGCTTGTATGTAGGTACTATATCAGATCGACTTCCCAGCGGCCGTCGAAACCATCGTGCTAACTTGCTTGACTTAAAGCTGGGGCTGATGCTTACTCCTTATTAACTGTCTATACAATGTACTATACCCTTATCAAACCGTTGTGGTTGCTGGATTTTGACAAAACTCTAAAATTTGTATTTGTTTATATTATACAGAGTATAAACCCGTCCATTACCTCAATTTGCATGGAGGTAATTTAGTCAAACAAAAACATGAACAATATGGTACATATCATATGTTTACAATATTTTCCGTATAACTGCTATGACTGAAACTATGAATCAACAATATTGTTCAATTATCGAGTTTCTAAGAAACGTTTACGACTTTCTATAATAATCACTGCCTGAAGACCTTGTTCTTTGTTAGGGCCAGATTAAGCATATAAGCTAGAGCTTGTAAGCAATGTAAGTTCAGATTTAATTTACTAAATTTTAATGTACAATTTTACCACAGTGCAATTAGTTATCATAATGCTGCAACCGCGACGAACTATGCCATAACCAAAAGTAATATATGTAGTATATTAAAGGAAAGTATGTATTATGCATATATTCCTTTTCTTTATTAATACTGTTTGACTAATTGACCGCTCGCCTGCACTCCATAATGTATAATCAGACCCTGTACTTGCACAATGCAATGCAATATAGTTTAGTATTATTTTCAATTGAATAAATATTTATGTATTGTACTATATTAATAGGTTGTATTTTATGCATAATGCCACCTCTTTATCGATAAAATAACTCAAACGAATGTATTGAACGTAACGATGTCACAAGTAATAAACAACTAGCATGAGGATATAAAACATTAAAATATAAAAAAACAAAGTGCTCTAACATTTTTTTTAAATAAAATGTTTATATTATGATGTATTTGTAGACATCGTGTCTAACATAATTCAATTTTTACTTATTGCCTAAATATGCTCTTGACATCTGACCCTGTGTAAGACACAATGTCTTCATAACAATAACTAAAAATAGTATCCGAGGCTTTGTTGTGGCATTGTAGTCAGTATGAACAGGCATGATGGTTTAACAGCAGTTTGTTACATCCTAATATGTAATGTCAAATATGAATATGATAGTTATAATTTCTACTGAATCCTAATAGTTACTTTTGTCAATGGTTTTCTACATTTAAACTGTACTAACAATAACAGTATATTAGGTCTAGCATGTATTTAACACTGGTCAACAAAAAAAAATGTCTGTTCCTTCGATTTTTTTTGTTTCTACCTCGAATTAACGCGTATTTTTTTAATATAGCAATTGTTTCTCTCTAACAGCTGTTGTTTTTGAGTTACAGCTAACTTACCTTACTATGTTCAACTTAGCTTTGCTTTTTTTATTGGACACTGAAATATATTTTGTTGTTGTTTTCGATATGCCTTCTTCAATAAGATATTGTGTAATTAATCCAGATTATTTTTGCTATATTTGTAGTGAATATGTAATTGTAAAAAACCTATATCGAACTTTGTGAAAACTGCGTATCATCAACACTCGGAAAAAGTATGCAATAATGTTCATAACACCCATGATTTACTGCGAACTATGAAATCATCATGACGATTACAACTTCTGCGTTGTGAAAGTAAACGGAATTAACCCTGGAAATTGAAATAAGTGGCCATGTCCTAACTTATTTTCATCATCATACTTCCACCACTTCATATTAAACTCGGTATAATGAAACAGTTTTTGAAGGCACTTGACAAAAGTAACGAATATTTTAATTTCCTTTCGCGCAAAATCCCAAGATTAAGTTCAGAAAAATTTAAAGCATTATTATATACCTACAAGTATTTTTGATGGGCCACAGATTAGGCAACACGTAAAAGATCCTAATTTTATTAAATCATAATAATGAATGAAGTTGAATCTAAAGCTTGGAAATCGTTTGTTATGGTAATGAGTAATTTCCTTAGTATAATAGATTTATTACGACGACGTCAACCTTGTTGAGTCTATGCTATCTGTTATTGGATGAAATTAAAATCCCTTTTTAAAAAAAGGAATTTATTTAAATAAAATTATAAGATATAATACAGAGGAGTGACGTGTATGAAATTTGGAAGGAGAATACCTGCCTATAATGCTATGCTTCGCCTCGATGCCCAGTATTGCTGAAGTCAGCAATACTGGAAATGTTGATTGTGAGCATTTCCTTATGTTACCGGGTATAACAACCCTCCCGCGTAAGACTAAAGTTAGGGGTTAAGCCCGTAAGCTTTATGTTGTATAAATATAATTTAAATTATCTGTATGAGGCGAGGCATAGGTGCAGATTCAACATCAGGTTCCGAATGATGGTAACCAGAATCGGATGTTTCATTGCAGTTCTCAGGTTCAAAATTTTGTTTAAAACAGAAATTACTAAATTCTAAATCGCTTAAAAATAACAAATATTACTAAACAAATAAAGATACATAAAAGTAATATAGTGATGACAGGATAGTGTGTTCCGTATGGTATCAAATGGGGTTGGTTGATTAATTTGATTGTCATTTCTATAAGTGATTGGGTAATTTTGTCATTAACCTTTAAATTATCCAAATGAATATTTCTCAATGTCACGGGAGACACATATTCTATCATCTTGCTAGAGTTACAACAAGTATCATTGATTATATTAAAGTCAGACATAATGACTGGCAGGGATACATTCACAATATTATTGTTCTTAGGTAATAATCTTGTTTCTTTACTTGTTTAATATACTGTACAATGGTCCGGTAAACTTACAATTCCGGTTCCTAAAATATTAATTACAATTACATCAGAGTTATATAACAATCTAAAGATAACTTACTTAAAGAGGATTGAACAAATATCCACTTGTTGTCTGTTAATGATTTCCAACGATCAATGTTCCCTTTTAGTATTTTAGTTTCACAATATTTTCATTAATTTTATTTATTTACTAAATTTATTTAGGGCGGGAATGCAGCGTTTTATAAAATGAATCATCACATATCAATCACCCCGCTACCCGCATTTCTTTTGTTCTGTCTATTAACCTAGTGGATATCATTATTGTATAGTTCCAGGGAATGAGAACTAGTTTCGCGATTTATTATCATTTCTATAATTTCTAGAAATTTTAAGAAAGTTTTATCGCTGCCAAATAATACAAATAACACAAATCCAAAACTGCGTTTTTACTGGTTTATCTAATTTCTATCGATGTTGGCGTATCGAAGTCTGTTCGTCAATGACTAATCAATTCAGTGAGAACTTTGGTTTTTACATAACATATTGTAAATGTAGATTTTATCTATCAGCATTCATTAGAGTAGATATACTGGATGACATGTGTCAATGCTGAAACCAATATCGGTATACTTAAAATTGATAATACTTCTGGCGTTAGTGACCAGACATCAGAAGAGTCTATACAGCAGTCGATATATATCTCCCTACACAGTCTTGACTATCTAATGATGATATAACTAGACAATATTCTGGCAAAACATCCGTGTTCCATAAGATAAATTATAGTTAAAATTGTTAATTATATTTCCGGATTGATAAAAGTGCTAGTATAGGTTTATACCTATTGTAACGTATTTTAGACCGTCATGAATGAAGATTCCCTATTCCGTATGCAAGCATTTAAATATGATTTCAAACAACTTTGGATAACGTACACCAAAGTCCTCGTATTTAATAATAGACTTATTAAGGCTATACAATTGAAGTGCTAGGTAATAGGACTACCGCGATGTTACTAAACACTGCACTGTAGGTATAATATTAAGTATAATTTAAGTGTAATAGGAACAACATTATAAATAATAAGTACCCATTACATCATGACAAAGACATCGTGTACTAGTATACGTACACAGTAGAGTAGAGTATACCTACTCGAACATCGTTTTTATTTAAATCCATTTGTGGTTAAATAATGAGTGGATTAATTAGCGGCCTACTACACCGTCTTATTTCCTATGATCACGGAATCAAATCCTCGTACAGTAAAAACAATTGTATTCATCAATATGATAGTTTGCATTTGTCTGATGTGTACATATGTATTATACATAGAAAACCTCAGATAAATATTTATTTAAGTGTTTCTATTAGTTATCTAGTATCCATTACTCAAACTCAGCTTAGTTTGGGAGTTGAGAGATGACGCTGTATTATTCCACTGGTCAACACTAGTTTTGTTTCCTTCATTTTTTTCTGTTTTTGGGTATTTTTATGGCTCTGAGTATGAAATAAATACTGGGTGATTGCTAATGCTTCAGTTTTGCAATGTGAGTGCAGGAAGTGGATTTTTATGCTCCTGTTACACCCTAGCTCTTGAAAGTTCATTTCATTTTATAAAACGCTGCATTAATTCCCGCCCTAAATAAATTTAGTAAATAAATAAAATTGATGAAAATGTTATTTATTTACTAAATTTATTTGGAATATAATATAACCCATAGCCAACTCTAAAATAATACTAGAGGCTAGTCTAGCCTCTAATATTATTTTAGAATATAAAATAATATCTAGTATTATTTTATATTACAGATTTTGAATTCTGATCTGAGAACCATTTAATACTCTTATGTATTTGGTATTTTTTTTCAAAGGCTTTTGTATATTTGACTATTAAAGCATTTATTTTTGTTATACAGGACAGCTGGATCCATACAAGTTACAGAAAATTCATTTATTAAAAAATTACAGTCGTCTGGAAGGAAATTAGTCGTATTCTATGGATCACAAACAGGCACCGGTGAAGAATTCGCTGGCCGTCTCGCCAAAGAAGGTGCTCGATATAAGATGAAGGGAATGGTGGCTGACCCGGAAGAATGTGATATGGTTTGTTAATTGTTTTTTCTATAATTTAAGACATGCTGCGAATATTAATAATACTACAGTCCTACTGTCAATTCTTGATAGTGAAATGCATAATTATGTTGAAGGTAATCACGTACGGCACACTGCGTAGTAATAACACACACTCTTGTGATAAATATTGTCATAGATACAGACACTTTTTAAACAAAATTGGTATACAAACACAAAACACAAAGTCATTCCGACGATAAGACATGTTACTATGTTTACATAGGTTAAATAAATGATTGTAGCGTTTTGCTATTTATTCTCTGATGGTTAATAGTATTAAAATTACGTTTTCCATTAGCCTTTTTTTTATGACGCTTAAAACTACTTCATCGTTGTTTAGAGCAACCGCTTTTTCCTTGTTGTATTTATTTTTTTATACTAATAGAGTCAGATAAAATATAATAAAATTTAAGTTTCCACGTCAAGTTCACCCAATTTGTAATTTAGCGCGTAAATTGAACCAGTTTGAAAATTTAGATATTCCCAGTAAGGTTGATACCAGTGGTACCCTGTAGGCAACATAAAATAAAATTATGATACTCTATATTTTTTTTATGTAAATGGCAAAAACAAACTGACGTATCCCCTGATGGCAAGTGTCCGTCGTCTATATACGCGAATAGGGCTACGTACATCACGTTATCACGTGACTACGTGATAACCCTCACCGGAGGACTAAGTTGTCATGTCTGTAATTCTCTATACGGTAATTTTACTGCCTTGTCCTTTAATCGAAAGACAGATTACAAGCCACATAGGCTAGATATTTCTACCTGACATTTGTATGAAAGCACAAAGCTACGAACAATTATTCTATTATGATAAGCATGCATATGTAAAATAATGTACAAGTGCGAAATCGTTGTAGCAAATTTTTATATACCGATATGTATGAGAAATATTTTTTGATCTATGTAATACGTTATATATATATTGTAGTATATGTGGTATACTAGAAATAATGTACTTAAACAAACTGTTTTTTTTGTTATAGGAGGAACTCACAAAACTTCCTGACATAGAAAGTTCATTAGCTGTATTCTGTATGGCGACCTACGGTGAGGGCGATCCCACGGACAATGCCATGGAGTTCTATGAATGGCTGAAAAACGGAGATCCCAATCTAACTGGATTGAATTACGCCGTAAGTACATACTTATGTAACCTTCCATAAAAACAATATCAGTAATCTTGACGTAACTGGTGATATAAGATCCAAATGAAAAAAAATCTATGGCATAATTTTTCTTTGTGTATACTATAATATTTAAAAATGCGTATATTTGTGAAGGAGAAATAATCTTTATTCAAATAAACTTAATATAAGCACTTTTGAATAATTTTTTTTTATTGTACCACTCATTTGAAACGCAGACTCATCTGAAGAAGAACGAGCACGAAACTTGCATGTTGCTCTATTAAATAAATGTTGTTCTAAGTACATACACATTAACAAGGATTGGGCATGCGACAATCAACATAGAAACCGCTACGCACTCAATCTTTGTGCAATGAGATAATATTGTCAGCGCTATGAATTTTAAATTCGAATTTCTTTACAAAAACATTGAACTCGTCCATTTTATATTAAACTTTTTTACAAATAAGTGTTTTCTAAGACATTTCAAAATTTCTTTTTTCTGGCAGATTGAGGACACACTCTGGCAGTTTGTTGTAAATCCTTATGCAATTTCCACAAAACAAATTACTTACTAACTTTCGTCAAAAAGCACTTAGGTAAAACCAGTTTGTTGTTCTTACGTAAGCTTTTATTAGTGTAATTAGTGTAGTTAGTTAGGTTTAAGTGACGTCAACATAAACATTTTTTTTTCACATTCGTATTTCCCTTCGTATTTGAGAGACCCTCCCATCTCCTGATATTCTAAATAGAGCAAGAGCCCACGACGGCCAGACATACGTCATTTTAGTAAACGTGAAAGTTGTTGTATGTGTGTCCCCAACACAGGTAAGAACGATCCCCAAACATGAAACCTGGATCGTGGTTCCTTTGGCAGGTACCAGGTAACAAAGGTGTAAAAAAATTCATATCAAATTCGTTATTTTAAGAAACTCCATATTTTCATATGTTGTTCGTAGCATTATTATAATTTGCGCTGCTCGTTGCCAGACCCTTAGTGTGGTTCCAACCCCCCGCCGGACCCCCCTAAACTATACTATTTTAGAAATAGACTTACGTCATTTTAATAAAGCTGAACTTTATATTTTTAAGTTTAATAGTTCTCTCAATAACATATATAAAGTTCAGCTTTATTAAAATAACGTAAATTTATTTATAAAATAGTATAGTTTGGGGGGGTCCGGCGGGGGGTTGGAACCACACTAAGGGTCTGGCAATGAGCAGAGCAAGTTATAATACTGTTACGAGCAATATGTGAAAAAATGGAGCATCTTAAAATAACGAATTTGATATGAAATTGTATACACCGTTGTTACCCAATATACGGTTTCAATGAGCTGGTAGGATAAGGAACCAAGAAAACTGTCTGGCAATTTAGGAAACTCAGTTTAATAGTTCTCTCAATAATATACATAAAGTTCAGCTTTATTAAAATGTACGTAAGTCTATTTATAAAATAGTATAATTTAGGGGGATCCGGCGGGGGGTTGGAACCACACTAAGGGTCTGGCAATGAGCAGAGCAAGTTATAATACTGTTACGAGCAATATGTGAAAAAATGGAGCATCTTAAAATAAAGAATTTGATATGAAATTGTATACACCGTTGTTACCCAATATACGGTTTCAATGAGTCTGGTAGGATAAGGAACCAAGAAAACTGTCTGGCAATTTAGAATCTCAGTTTGAGAGAACTCTCAATAATATATATAAAATTCAGCTTTATTAAAATGACGTAAGTTTATTTCTAAAATAGTATAGTTTAGGGGGGCCCGGCGGGGGGTTGGAACCACACTACGTGTCTGGCAATGAGCAGCGCAAGTTATAATAGTGCTACGAACAATATATGAAAATATGGAGTTTCTTAAAATAACGAATTTGATATGATTTTTTTTACACCTTTGTTACCTGGTACCTGCCAAAGGAACCACGATCCAGGTTTCATATTTGGGGATCGTTCTTACCTGTGTTGGGGACACACATACAAGAACTTTCACGTTTATTAAAATGACGTATGTCTGGCAGTCGTGGGCTCTTGGGCTAAAATGTATAATGTCAATATTGAGATTAGTATGAGCAGATAATAAAGCGAGAGCTGAAATGGATTACTCGCCGCATAAAATAATAAGTTCAAGCCTATTAGCGATCACTGAATAAAGAAATGTTTTTTTGTGTTGCGCACTGAACAAAATTTTCATTTTGAGTGCCCCAGATATCGAATATAGTTTCCTTTTAATAGATCTGCATTGAAATGTGAGGATTTACATTGATTTATGTCTTTTGCTCATGTTGAATAATTACGTATTAATTGCTTTAGTTTTATTTTTGCAGTAGTTCATGTTTTGCTTAATACGTCCGTAGTGACTTCGTGTCTGCCACAGGATATCAGAGCTACGGTAGATTTTAAATGTTAAGATGTAATCATGTTATTTTTATACATTATCGTATTAAACTTATGCCTACAATAAATTATGCATTAATTTATTTTGTATAATTTCGAACTTAGCGTGTTAATTGTACAGTGTATTATCTGATTTTTATTAGCATTGATTTATTAATTATGTCTCTAAATAATTATAAAACCATCGGAAAATAAATGCTAAAAACTATAATCTACATTCTTTATTTTTATACTAGATGTATAAAAAATATATTAATTCATCATTATCATTACATAGTATAAAAAAAGTCGCTGTCGCTGTCTATTCTTTCCTATGTATGCTTAAATCTTTAAAACTACGTAACGGATTTTGAAGCGGTTTTTTAATAAATAGAGTGATTCTAGAGGAAAGTTTTATACATATATATAATACATGTATACTCGTGCGAAGCCGGGGTGGGTGGTGGGTGTACATCATAAGGTTTGAAACAACGAATATTTGAGGTCAATATTATTATTTTTTTCGTTAAATCCTTTCTCGAAATTTCGTTGCGAATAGGAAAATTATACCAAATATAGAACTGAAATTAATTTAGCATTGGTTTCGCGGCGGCACGAAGAGCCATAGGTCAGCGAGTGGACATTAAATTTAGATTGAAGAAGAGTGGACGGTTGTTGGTCTTTTCTTCGTGTACCAAAATGTTTTTAATTTCTTATTGGAATAAAGGTTAATAGAATATTTCTATTCCATTCACAACATACTCTATCGTCACGGGTCCTATTATGAGCATCAGGCAATTGGCGCGATTAAGTTGCACATAACTATTATTAATTACAATTGTTACTGCGAGTAGTTGATGACGAAAATAATGATGCTTGCAAAATCACTGTCTTGTTACCTATATGTATATGAATCTGGTTAAATGTCAATAAGCATACCATGCCAAGGCCGTAATACTGTATCAGTACTTTGTTGTTGGTAATAATAAATGTAGACTAATTATGTCTATATCGACAAGATTAAGATCAAATTCCTTTTCCTGTGGTAACAATTTATAATAACAGCATTAAGTAGAAGATATTAGATTAAATCCAACATTTTTCAATTCATTAAAATAATAAATGTATTAACTCAAAAATTACACATTTTCATAAAATTTACTTTAATAGTTTAAATTTTTTGTTGATTTTCCATAATTTGTAATTTTTGAGTTGACGCAATATTTCAAATTTGCCTAGTTTAAAAAATCTTAAATATCTTGATTGGTTTTTTTCAAGCACCATTATATTTTTTTAATATTTTCTCTGTCTAATATTTGTCCACCATTATGTGTCACGCAAGTAAACAGTAGTAAGTCGGTTCGACTTTATTCATAAATTATGTATGTCTTCATTCTAAAAATAGACTGTTAAAAACAAATTATACTCAACCCAAATACAGTCTCTTGAGCGGTCATTATATTTTCTCACAGAATACATAACAGGCTCATGTAATTGATCCCAAAAGTATTGATTATTTTCTCTATTTAATAATTACATACTGATATGTCCAGCCAGCTTTAAATTTTCCAATTAGGTAGGTACATACATTAATTAGGTAGGTAGGTAGTATATTCTAGTACATTGACCACGTTTATACTTATAATGTTTAAATGATGTAGATACCTAATAGTAAATGTGTTTAAATATAAATTAGCATTCTAAATAACACAAGGCAATAAATCTTGTTTTCCTTTTAAGATCTTAGATAAATATCTGCATAATAATAAAATATAAGTTAAAATGACATACATACTTGAGTACGAGTATGTATATCATCGCATCACACATTAATGTCAAATAATTGACCTGCCTCAGCTACGACCGACCGCACTATCTAAACGTCCGAAAAGTATTATTTTGCGACTTTGATACCAGCCAAGCACATTATCAGCTTTAGAGTAGATAAAGTACCAGTTGCGTGCCTAAGTTTCGAAAACAAAGAGAAGCCAAGCCCTCCCGACTCATTTAAATAAATCAGTATATGAATGTAGATAGTGAAAAATTAAATAATTTGGTAGTTAATATTCGTCCTAACTAGGTCAATTCATAAATTAATATAATACTTATGTAGTCATTGCAGTGTTTTTTTAATAAAGCAGGGTAAATCCATCTTTTTAAGATCTTTAAAAGAATTTCCGCTATAAAAAAATTTATTAATGAAAACAATAAATAAAGTGTCTCAGTAAAATTAATTTATGTAACTTTTTTATTTTTGATAATTTAATTGGGTAGGTACTTAAACGAAGACAATAAGAGCCAGAGAATGTATAATATTTAGTACGGTAAAGGAGGATGGCCATGAGTGTGTTGTGTGCCCTCATTGTTTGAGCAAGTGGTAATATAATTTATACGTGACATTTTTCAGTACGTAATACCTACTTACATAATTATTAATATGGATAATGGGGTCTTAACACGGAAAATTTAATGATAAAAAAGGTGTTACCATAAAATTAATTCACTTGAAATGTCGTTTGGGTTGGTCAGTTGTAGTGATTATTTGTTCTGTGGTAACTACTAGTTCGCAGAGAATGGATTACCATTAGACGAAGTAGAAATTAGCTCAGGGCTTACAAAAATACTTGTAAATGAAAAATAAAATGACAGTATTTTTCATACTTACAGAACAAAAACAATGGAGTAGGTAAGTACTAATAACACCCGTAGCATTTTTAGGAAAAAAACTTGGGTATTATTCACATCCTTTAATCAACTTGTAAAGAGCTGATTATCTGCAAATATTCTATTTTTTTTTAATATATTATCTAAAATATACATATACAAACTAGCATTGAATGACCTCTTTTCATTGCTTACTACAATCTATTACATTTCAGTAAGGCACCCTAAAAGGTTTATAATCTTTTTAACAACTGTCATGTCTGTCTTTTTGTATTTTAATAACGAAATTTATCCTTTTTTTATAAAAAATAACCGAACTCACTATCCGGCGACAATACGTCGTAAAATAGAAGTAACCATAAATACCAATTACCTATTTATTGTCAAAAACAGTTATTTTAATAAACATTTCTAGTTAGTAATATATATCTTATAAATTATAATATAAATACTGCAAACACACGTAACAAAAGACGTAAGACGGATTTATTTTGGAATCGAGATTCAGTCATTATCAACCCGGAAATAGCTTTAGTCATTCCGGTAGTCAGTGTCGATCATTGTTGTAGCCAAGGTTGTAACGTGGTCATAATACATTTTATTATTATTACTTACAGATATCTTCAAAAAATGTAATTTAAAATAATAGTCTACGAAATTTGAATGTTTATTTGATATAATGTATACCAATATAAAGTATGTGGTATTTGGGTGTTCCAGGTATCTCCTTTGTTGTACAGATGAAACGTTTTTAAAAATTATTTTACTGTTGTATAGATTTATTGAGGACTGTAGGCATCATATATATCAAACTTCGACGAAATGTCGCAAAAACGGGTAAAAATATGTCGCATACGTAGTTGCACGGGTCAGCCAGTACCTACAATAACTAGAAGTTATAGAGTATATATTATCTTCTTTAGATAGATTTTTTATAACATACTCGTATATTGTATTTTTCCAATGACAAATATACATACATATAACATGCAGTTATCTTATCCAGTATCCAGTAACTTTACTACCATTATCATATGCCTCAAGTAGAAATTAAGGTTAAAAGCTCGAGTGACCCAAAGTAGGTGCCCGCCCATAATAAGGTTTTGGAACATTTTCATAACAACTTGAAAACTGGTATGCGCCAGTATTACATAACCAGCATTCTGCGCCTATCCAGTTATAACGATAACCGTTTACTGTGTCTCTATGAGACGTAGTAGTAAGTTTTTATGGTTCCTACATTATATATATAATATACATAATGTAACACATATGTGTACTAGTGCATTAATATCTCAAAATAGTTTGGAATATTCAAATAGTATCACCTAATATTTAATTTTCATAGATATATGCGACTTCTACAGCTACTTCACTTAACATCTTTTTAAGTATATCTATACTGTTTTAAATTTGTCGCGGTCATTATTTATACGTATAATTAGTAAAAATCACGGGAACTTACCACATTTTATATTTATTTTCCCGAGTTGCCGATATTTCGGTAGTGTTTCAACCACCATGATCACGGGTAAATTGAAGAGCAGCGGGTAGATGGAAAATTAAATCTTTTTATGGGCAGACATATGCATCTACCTTCACACGTCTTCGTTTGTTGCTACTACTGGAACTCGCTCGATATTCATCTCGGCAAACTGTACTCACAGTATCTTCACGTACATTTAATACACTTTTCGATCGCGTTTTTTGTTTTTGTTTAATTAAACCAATCGCTGGATGCCAAGCATTAGAGAGCCTATAACCGTCTTCTCGATTGAAATTTTTATATTTCTGTATTTCAGTGGCCTCTCTAAACATTCTTGGAATATAATGCCGTTCTGATGTTAATACTTTTGGTTGGTGTAGTTCAATCCAGTGATGGGGTCTCGATCTCAACAAGTGTTCCGCTATGGCTGATTTACGTGGATCCTTGTTTTTAACAGCTTTTATATGTTCAGCAATGCGACGGGCTATTGTTCTTTTTGTCTGTCCGATGTATGAGCTCCCACAACTACAGTCCACCTTATAGACACCAGGATGTTGTAGAGGAAAGTTGTCCTTAGGTGAACGTAACATTGCTTTATTTTTCTGTGCGGAGTAAAAACAGTATCTACAGAGTATTTACTCAATAGTCTATCGTCTAATATATTTAAGTACTTTGAAATACCTACACTCCTGTGATGGGGATTAATATGAACCAATTTGACTACTTTTTATCAAAGATTTATTCGCCAAATAGGAAATATTGGTATACGCGGATTATCTAGACGTTATCGTCTTGTCTTCTTAACCAACATTTAATATGTGAATGAATACGGTAAACAAAAATACAATAAAAATAATTAAAAAAAACACGGTATTATTTTGTTATATAGCACTAGAACTTAAATTGTAAATAATTTCTGCCTCTCAAGGCTGTTAACCCAGTGCCTCGGGAATTGTGATCCCCGGAGTTTCGATATAAAGCCCAAAGCTGCACTCTCCTAGAGGGGAGCTAAAGACCAATGTCTGTATGTTAACAAAAATGCGTTATACATATGTTTGTTTTTAGAACTTATCTGCACATTAAAAACAATTTTTAAATTAGAATACCGAACTAAACCATTAATCGTAAATATTAATATAGATAGATTGACTGATGTATTCTATCCAAAGCCGTAAAATTATGAATAAAGTATACGAGAGTGTGTTCTCACTTGTTATGTCAGTTGCGTGTGACAGTGACGCGCGGGGCCAAATAAGGTTGGCTGAAACCAGTCATATGTTCATATAAACTTAATTTAAATATTGCTATTTTAGAATGTATTAATTAATATCTATGAAACAATAAATGTTGTGAATATAACAGAAATGTTTTCTTACTAATTTGATAATAATACATGTGTAGAATTTAAACAATCCGCAAACGAAGTGAGTCTTGTTCACAATATTGTATACGATATTTTCTATACAAATAATCAATAATGGGTATATATTTAAAGATTCCACAACTAGTTGCTAATCTATTATATAGGAGACGTATTATATCATCAATCCAGAAATTAAGATACATGGTATGCCGTTAACCTCTAAACCTTTGTTAATAGATTACAGTAGATTTTAATAACAAATATCCCATAATGTCTTATTTGTGTAACATATTATGCGTAACTGTGTACCTAACATTTAGATTACACATTTCACAAAATGTAATTTATTTTTATGGTATCCACAATGTGATTATTGGTCTTCTTAACATTCCCCTATACCAAATACACATAAATCTTGTCCTTTATATTTTCTTAATATACTTTACATTTATTACATGTTTACTGTATGATAGACAGTCCTGTGTGCACATAATGCTATCCATCTTAGCACACAGTAATGAATGTAAATATCTTTGGATGTTGTTTTTGAATAAACTAATAAAAATAAAATAAATCAGCCAGTAATTCAACATATGTAATTACAGTTAAAACTTAAAACAATTCTTTTTCTGAACTTTGTATGATGATTAAAGAAAGTTGTTTAATTAATATAGTATATATGGTGTGTATATTCGTCATTTTCAATTACTTATTGTACCTTAGTAAATTAGTATATTTACTAAGGTACTAACTCAAGTAAAATTTACATATATGAGTAATATAAAAAATAAAAAGTTATCAATTAATACATGTGGTGTTACATACATTCTTAAATTGTTGTTAAATGTTACTTCTTAAATGTTCAGTTCGACTGACCAGTCCTTTAATGTTTTGAAATTACTGTAATTAATACTTTGAATGACCAATCTTTTAATATATTTTTTATTTAGATTGATCTTTTTGTTTTCTTTAACTCCTGATTTCATTACAGGTATTTGGTCTTGGTAACAAAACATATGAACACTACAATGCTGTAGCAATCTATTTGGATAAACGTCTTGAAGAACTTGGTGCTAGCAGAGTATATGAACTTGGATTAGGAGATGATGATGCAAAGTAAGTGGCACACACAAATATTTGTTTTACATACAAGTTGTATCTTTAGTCTAATTAGCCAATTAATAGATAGTTAGTAACTTTATTAATTATAAATATATTACTCACTATACACTACACTATAATGACAAATATATTATATAGTATAATAATTTGAACAACCAACTTATGTAAAAAAACAAAAGTGTATTGAAAAGTGCTGAATGGCTTCTTTATCTTTATTTTATGTTACTCACTAGAATTCCAAAATAATTATTACACCCCTCTTGCAATGCTACTAGCATTGTACACTACAGGTTTAATATGACAGCATGTGTAGTGGCCGATAATTGTGAATAACGTGACCACATTGCGATATTGAATGTACCATATCAGGCAGACCTCCATGCAGTCTATCCTGGAAACTAACATGGTTAATTGCTGCAAATTTCACCACAATGAACTAATTGACCTGACTTCAGGCTCAACATGCCACCATTCCATTATCACATATTAAAACTATACATTGCGCCCACATGTGTGCAGTGGAAAAAATGGACAAATTTTTGTACATAGATTAAGTTGAGTAGGAACGAAAAGTATAGAAAATCCAAAACTTATATATTAAAGCTCTTATAAACAGCATTTTATATTTAGCATAATGTTAAAATTAAATGGTTCATAAATTAATTTAATAAATGGCAAACAGACCTAAGTTAATAGGTAGTAAGTAGTAAGTACCTAATTGCTAGCATTGATTATTCAAATTCAAATTCAAAATATCTTTATTCATGTAGGTCTATTACAGACTATTATGATATGTCAAATCTACCGTCAGTTCGGAATGATATCGAGATGAGAAGAACTGACAAGAAACTCAGCTCTTATTTTTTTCAAATAATAGTGGAACATGTTTATAATAAATATACTTTTTAAAATTCACATTTGGGAGAATAGACTGACCACCAGCATATGCTATCGCAAAGAACAAAAAATTTAATCAGTGTTCACAACCTGAACAGACCAGGCCCCACAAGTAGCACCCATTCACGAGTATGACGTATGAGCCAGCCATCATTGTACTCAACCATATTTGAGGGAGCACATCGACCCGGCCCACCACGCCGCCACAAGTTTGAATTGAATTGATTACATTTTCCATATCAATATTTCTAATTAGTTATTCTATACCAGTAATATATTATTATTTATAAAATAAGTCCATTAAGTAGATATGTGCACCTTTTATATTTCAGTATTGAAGATGATTTTATTACATGGAAAGATAAGTTCTGGCCATCAGTATGTGAGAAATTTAATATTGAAAGCACAGGCGAGGAAGAGCTCACGCGTCAGTTCCGTCTGGTCACTCATGCGCCTGATGAAATTCCAACAAATAACATTTTTACTGGCGAAATTGCCAGACTACACTCACTACAGGTTCAAAGGCCGTGAGTATTATAGAAGCACTACTCCTAAGTGTGTACTGGTTTATTATGCAACTACCCATTGGTTTTATCTATGTCCAGCTTGAACAATATATATGATACAAAAAACTTATGTTGTATATGCAAACATTCATTTAAAAAAATATTTTAATAACAAAGACCTGTATTAAAATTCATTGTTTAGTAAATCTAAAAACTAGTAAACAAATAGCAATAAAACAGAACATTTTCGGTATTATCTATCATTGCATGTAGTACTTAGATTACATAAATCTGATTGTTCCAACCTTTGAATTTCTAACCCATTTTAACTTATAATATCATTTGAAGTTGTTTTTTTCATCAACTGCAGGCCCATCTATATGAATTCATGTATAGTGTGTGTTTAAGGACTGATGTAGTTCATGTTCATACATGAACTACATCACTCTTAACACTAAGGAGGTTTCATACAGTTGTATTAGTAGAAAGTGTACTATTTTTTATTAACTGGACCTAAATTGTAGCACAATTTAGTGTTTCACAGTAAAAAAAAAATGCTGTACCATAGACAGCGGAATTATATTTAATTAGTCAATAATTTATTATTTTAGACCATATGATGCTAAGAATCCCTTCCTTGCACAAATCAAGGTCAATAGAGAATTACATAAAGCTGGTGATAGATCATGTTTACATGTGGAATTCGATATTTCTGACTCAAAGATGAGATATGAAGCAGGTATGTGATATCTATATATAATACATTGAAAACTCTACAGGTTTACATCTGAAAGAAAACCATTTTTGTGGTACAAATCCTGGTTGTACTGCTACTACTGCACATATTAAATTAAAATATTTTTTTTATATAATTATCTTCAAAGAAACTCTTCTCATATTCCTACTCAGAATATGAGTAAATTTGAAAACCCCATCTGGGATCACAATCATGGAGGTGTATATGTGTATATAATCATGTATTAATAATGAGTTTTAATTATAGTTTTGATGGATAAACAATTTTATTCAATAAAATTGGAAGACTACAATTGCCACTTTATGATAATTTAATTATTATTTCAGGTGACCATGTGGCTGTTTATCCTATAAATGATTCGACACTAGTTGAGCGTATTGGAGAGTTAACTAATTCAGATCTGAATGAGATATTCTCACTTATTAATACTGATCAGGAAAGCAGTAAAAAGAATCCATTCCCATGCCCTACATCCTATCGTACGGCCCTCTCCCACTACTTGGAGATCACGGCGTTGCCCCGTACGCACATCATGAGAGAGCTCGCGGAGTATTGTTCAGATGAAGAAGTGAGTATATAGTATATTACATGATATAGTATATGACCAAATAGTTTAATTACGAAGTTTATTTATAGATATGATGTAATTGTAAAAATTAACTTACATTACTAAATTTCATTTACAGAGTTCGTTTTTTTTCCATTTGGCATAGAATTATTTACTTAGAAATATTGGATTGTACTCTCATATCCATTATTTGTTTTTCTTTGAACAAGTTATCCCATATTGAAGATCACTTTTGGTGTGATTGTTTGGTATTATATTATAAAATTGTTTTATTTTTCACTACACACAGGATAAGAAAAAGTTACTTCTCATGGCTACAAATTCACAAGAAGGAAAGGCTTTGTACCAATCATTTGTAGTGGATGCTTGTAGGAATATTGCACATATTTTGGAAGACATTAAATCATGTAAACCACCTCTGGATCATATTTGTGAGCTCCTACCACGCCTCCAGCCAAGATTCTATTCCATATCATCGAGTCCAAAGGTACTAACCGTCTTTATCATATTAGTATTTTGCATATCAAAGTACGTGGCTAAATATACAGTTATTTACGTTGTAAACAAGTGAGTTGATGTTTATAGACAGATAAGAATAATGATTGTATATTTTTATTTAATTAGCAAAGTTTTTATATTGTGATATTCATTAGGTTCTTTAACAATGTTATTTTTTAGAAAAATCCCTTTTATTTCTCTATATTTAGTTTATATTTTTGGATCCAAATTTAGTAATTTATTCGTACCGAATTTCTTGCTATCTTCTTTATATTACTTTTAATTTATATTTCGACATATTCCTTTACATAATGTAATATAATAAAGTAACGTAATAATCCTGCTTATCCTTATTTTAATGGATGTCAAACCTTTGTTTATCTTAAATGTATTTTAGTAATGTCAAACTTAATTATATTCTAGAGAATAACCTGTTTAATTGAAATACGTTAATTGATAGAAATATGTACATAATAATTTTAGTTGCATCCTGAAACTGTCCACGTAACTGCGGTCGTGGTAGAATATAAGACGCTGACAGGCCGCATCAACAAGGGGGTCGCTACCACATGGCTAGCCCAGCATAAACCAGAGGACGGTAAACCATTACCTCGTGTGCCAATTTATATAAGGAAATCTCAATTTAGGTATGAATATGTTTTCGCTACAACCCTCTGTAGTCATTCCGTGAATACTTAATTTACTACCTAACAGTCTATGTGTTGGTTTGATAAAAAACATTTTAATATATCCTCTGTTCTTTGGAGCAAGATTTTCAAAAGATGTACTACAGATAGTGATAGCACGTCCCGAATTTATATAATAACTACTTAGTTATATTAAACCTACAATATTATTATATTATGATTTAACAAAAGAAATTTGTCTTTAGAAATCTGTTATTTAAATTATGTCCTAATATGATGTACTAAACTACAACTACAGAGAAGTATAGTTATTTTATAAGTCTCAATTCAGTATTTTAAAGTTACACAAGTTCCTTTAATTGTGTATAGATTGCCGCTGCAGCCTCAGACGCCGATTATAATGGTCGGCCCAGGCACAGGATTTGCTCCATTCCGAGGATTCTTGCAAGAACGTGCCCATGCACGTGCAAATGGGAAGGAAGTTGGAGATAATATTCTTTACTTTGGGTGCCGGCATCGTGATCAAGACTACATCTATCAAGAGGTCACTTAAAATGAAGTGTAGCTACTTTCGTTAGTATATTTACGTAATAACTAGGGTCTAAACTTTTGTTTTTAAATAATAGGAACTTGAGCAATATGAAACAAATGGCGACGTTAAACTGAACTTGGCGTTTTCAAGAGATCAAGCACAGAAAGTATATGTGACTCATCTGCTGGAAAAGAACATAGACCAGATTTGGGATATAATTGGTAATCGTAATGGACACTTTTACGTTTGTGGGTAAGCAATAGAGTATTACATATATTTTATTTTTTTAAATAATATCATATTTACATATACTATAGCTGATGGAGAATAGTTTACTACAAATTACGATGCGCAAAATTATTTTTATGTCTCGGGTCGTAATATAAATTTCCTAGTAAAACCTTGAACATTAGTTTCTCACGTTCCTCTGTTCCTGTACAAAATCGCACACGTTATACTTTCGCAGACTGTTGATATAGCGGATGATTGATAAGATTGGTGAGATTCTTTTGATTTGAATATAGGTAAATTTCTCGCTATGATAACATGTTATTTTGGATTGGAGATACAAAAGAGATATTATCATACAAACTTTTTACTATTAAACTACTAAGCTATCGTACAATAATGATAATTTTTACACAAGCTGAACACATATAGTGTTTCATTAACAAATTTCTTACAGTGATGCAAAAAATATGGCTGTGGATGTACGAAATATACTTTTGAAAGCAGTCCAGGAGAAAGGTGGTCGTACAGAAGCAGAAGCTATTCAGTTCCTGAAAAAACTGGATTCAATGAAGAAATATTCATCAGATGTATGGAGTTAATTTTTTTATAGCAAATTTTTGATATTGATAGGCAATTGTTCAATTTATTTTACGTAATATATGACCTGATATAATTTCGTAAAAAATAACCATATTGTGAGTATACATAAGTATTGGAGTTTTGCAATACTATAGTAAATAAGCTGAACAAATTTGTTACATATACAATATTTATATGATCTATAGAAAAGTGATACAAATAATAGAAAATTAATAAAAGACAAACATCTAACAATATCTATAACTGAAGAATACAGATCAGGTTCTTTGAAAGCCACTGTGTTTAAATGGCTCACAGTGCTTAGTATAGAATCGATCCTCGATTAGTAGTAATTAACTAAACGAGGATCGATTCTACAATACAAGGTAACAGAATAATAAATGTTATTCAAAACGGTTTAATTCACCGGTTTCGTTGGTCATAACAAATAACGTCGATGTGTTTGCAATACATTAAACCAACAAATTGGATACGTGTCTGAAACAATATTACTTTGTATAAAACATTAAATTTTAAAAATGGTTTCGAACCTGTATGCATTAAGAACCTTCTTTTTTACATTAAGTTTATAATAATATATCATATTGTTCTCTTCTTTTGTGGCCAGGGTATCTAAAAATATTTCAATTATTGTAGTAATAAATTACCACTATTTTGTAATTGTTAGAATTTATATTATTTAGTGCGAAATAACGGATAACGTGACAATTATAATCCTATAAAGAAATTTTGCAACATCCACTTCTATAAAAAATTAATTAAATTGTGTAATAAATTATTGGTTTGTTTTTTATTTATATGAACAATTATTTCTTTCCTTTATTAAAATTGTTAAGTTGTTATATTTATTTGTTGTAAATTTAATTTTATGGAGTATAAAAATATTGTTTTAGAATCTGCAATGGCATAAACTCGTAGTTTCTGCATAAGTACAAGGTGCAATACATAAATGCATTGACTTAAATACAATCGTAACAATCGTTTGTTACGATTGTATTTAAGTGTGGAAAATGAATTTAATAATGTTTTTGACAAAATATGAATGATGTTGTTTAAGGAACAAATGTAAAATTTTTATGAATGAACTGTTATTGTTGCATATATGTTTTTTTATTGATTAAATGAGGAAATGCAGTTGTTGGTATATATATATATATATGTATATATATTAAGTGGACTGGGCAATAGGATATAAGAGAAATATATTTTGTACGTATGTAATATCTAATTATAATGGATTTATATTACTATGAGTTTTATTTTATTCATTCAAAATTATTATAGGTAATTATTTTTAGTTTTTTTTTTATAGATTTCACCAAAGCTATTCCTGCCATCCTTTACAAAATTTATGAAACGGTTACTTCGTATCATGTCTAATAGAGTACTCACTATGTCATTAAAATAAAGATTTTGGGATAGACCCACTCCGTTTTATATCAACTTATGTACTCGGAAAGTAATTTTAATCAATTACTCTCAACAATCGTTCGTCATATTTGGTTTCTCGAAATATATTTTTATATATACTCTTTATTGCAGCAGATACAGAAAATAATTAAAATAATAAGTTTACGTAAACTAACACTAGAGGCAGTCTTATCGTTAAGCAATTTCTTCCAGACTACTTTTGGGCAGTTTTGGGTACTTTGATACAGTACCTGACTTCTGTTCTCACTTAGAACAGGAGGCTTCTTTTAGGCTATTGATTGAATATAAATAAAGAAAAGGTTGTAAGGGGTTGAAAGAGATGAAGTGTTGTATAAAAGTAATGTCCTTTTTACAGCTTGAAACTTATTTTTAAGGCCATTGATTAAATATAAATAAATATGACATTCAGTTTGTAAAAATGTTTAAACTATTTTCTTTGTATTATTTGGGTTAGATATTTTTTCTTTATTTGGTAAAGGTCACTACAACACGCGGACGAAATCGCAGGCATAACTAGTAGGGTATAAACTACTAGACCAAGGTGGCTTCCATGTTCCTGATAATCAAATAAATGCATACTTACGGATCAGTTTAAGGTATAAAAATGGATATTCTATCAGCGTACCGTAACGGCCTTGGTAGATTACTGTGTGATTGAACAGGTAAGATAAAAATGTAATGTAATTATGAATACTCTACCTTTTAAGATGTTAAGGTTAAAAATAAAAATATATTCAATTTTTGAACGATAATTTATTGATTTAACCGCAAATATATTAGTTTATATACAAGAGGGGGCAACAAAATGCAAACTGAGAGCCAGCTGTTTGTATCTAGTTATACTCGGAAAACTAACCGATTCATCAATACTTTCTTATTAACTAATATATAAACACATGACATATAAACCCACTGGCTTTTTATAAAGTAAATCTAATAATAACAACGAACTCAACGACGCTGTATAAAATCTAAGCTTCCCCAAAAAGCTTGCAACTGTACTACACAATACGCATACACAAATCATAAGACTAAGAACAAAACGCTTAATTTTCAACTTAATAAAATACTGAATTCACTACCATACAATGAATATAATATTTGTTTTGTTGCTACTTAAAGTTTCTATTATTTACACTATTAAACTAATAAGTCGGGGATTATCTATGTGCTCATTACAATTGTAATTTAAATAAAAACACAATACAACGATTGTAATGTATTACAACGATGATTAGTGTGCCATCTGAAAAGAAAAAAGTATAGAGAATTTTATCGCTCATAATAGTTTTAATTCTTAACAAGATGACCAGATATTTTGCAGTGAGTGACTGAAACCATAAAGAAGTATTGAATCAGTAACTGAAATTCAAATATTACAAAAAGATCATATGCAAATAATATAATCACCTTATCAATTTTTCAATATTGAAAATGATTGAAATTTGAGAAAGTTAGTACCGACATATTCATCTTCAATTTGAACCAGTCATAAACTTCAACATTTATTGTACTTTCTTTTTACACGCACATATTATACAATTTTACAACTATTATACATACTCAGTCAAACTCCCGTATCACATTATACACACCTACTTGTGTAATTCCAATGTTTAAATGTAAATAAAATATATTGCATATCGTTGTATGCTCTTTATAATGCGAATGTACGCATTTAGTTTGTAACAAAATATTTTATATACATTACAGTATATGGAAGGTATGTAATTATAAAGAAAATGCTGCATAAAGGCACATCCATCAAAGCGGCAGCGGCCGACACGCTTTTATATTTAAACAAAACAATAGTTGTATATTAAACTAAGGTGTAGAATTTAACAAACTGGTCATGAGAAATCTGAACAGTATTTGGCACTTTTATTAATATAATGTTGAGATTGAGACATCATGTCAAGGCCAGAATATACGATAAAAGTAATAAGTTGAAAGGCAGACTTCATTGAATTATAATGAGCATACTGAACATTCCAAAAAGTACATGATCCTTGCAAAGGATCTGTTTCAAGCTTTGCCAAATAATAATAACAATTTTCTACGAAACAAATTGAGGCGTATTGCATGTCTTCGTTACTATTGTGGGAGCTTAGACAAAACGATGTAATATAATAGTAACATAAAATTAAGGAACACGCAAATTTAAAAGTATCGGAACGTATGTAAGGTGTACATATTCCTACAGTCGTTGAATTTAGTATTTATGTAGGCAACCTAATAAGGATCTGCTTGATCAACTATACATCTAAAATCAAATTGTAAACTGAACGTAAACATTTATTAATTTAAGAACTAATAAGACAACTCATAAAAATAAAAACAATTGAGAGTTAAGTTTAACATCTCGATAATGCACTACCAGCGCTTAGTTTAGTAGTGAAATTAATGTTTATGTACATATTTGAAATGCAATCCCATTATGCTAATCAGCGTCAAATTAAAATTAAGTCGTAAGTAAGTAGCGGGAGCGGAGTGCAAGCTGCGGGACGTCGCTCACGAGTCCACCGGCATGTCCCACTCCGCTAGGCCGCGGTCCACTAACTCTCTATTCAGAAATATCACTTGCTGCAACACAACAGGGCGTAAATAAGTCATTTTCACAAAAAAAAAATAATTTAGGTAGCTGAAAAAAAACGAGACTTCATTTTAATATATTAGCATTATATACTATATATATAAATATGAACTATTTTTGTTCGGCAAGGTGGAAGACCTTTGAAGGTCCTCATCCCTTTTTGTAATTGTATAGAATTTTATGTATTCAGTAGTTGCATATTATCTGTAATTTACTATTCCATTTATAAATTAAATTGAATTCTGAATATGTGAAATCAATGTAAATACATCAGGATATGTGAATGTTGATTTATTATATCTTAGACAAAAGTAGAAATAAGTATTTTCAAGGTATGTTGGTTTTATATATGTTCATGCTTATAAATATATATCAAGTACATACACCTGTAAAGCAATAAATAGCTCCCAGTGTCTGTTATCATTATTGATAAAATTTATTTATGATAAATAAATCGGATTAAGACAATATTATCTTTTTGTGACGTTAGCTACCTGTGGATTTAAGGTGAGGTAAAGATGTACTAATGGAAGGCCGCACTCGTCGTAACCGGCGACTTGTGCGTGTAGAAGCTGACCCGCGGTCAGTCCTGCCATGATGCGTAATGCCTCATTACTCCACTCTGGTTCTAAAATACATAACAAATATTGCCATAATTGTTCACTGGTATTTATCGAAAGAATGTCTTGTACAAAAGTACTTACCATTAAATAATAAAAAAGCAATATGACATTGTCAAAATCAGTTCAGACAAGATGCATGTTACAGTAATAAACGAAAACTATATTTGAAGCAGTTATATACAATTACTGTATTTCGATTATTTAGACACACCATATACTTATTAAAAATATCATTAATTTATTTCACAGCAAAATGTTATTTGTCTGAACTAATTTTTAGTAAGCAAAATACGGAAAATATATTATATAATATAATCTGGTCATAAGAATATTAAAATTGAAAACAGGTATTGTAATTTATAGAGATAAGATATTTTTAGACGTTACAAAAGATAGGTTATTGACATGACAAACAATATTTAGATTATTAAATGAATCATAAATTAAATAATAATTAATTATCCATTCTTTTAAGGAATTAAATATATTTATAGCTTCATTTTGAAATTAGAAGTAGTATTTAATTAGACAAGCATAAAGAATCATTAATTAACCATTTTTCGCTGGTTTCACGAACGCCAGAAGGGCTTCTGTTGCCTGGAAAGGCAGAGTCATGAAATCAGAACGGATCTGTTTGAGCTGGTCATTGTCCACTGTGAGGTATCCACCAAAGTCCACCAGCTTCACAACAGATGTGTCATTCTCCTCAGATGTTGATATCACTTGAGCACGATACCAATTGTTTTCTGTCGGTGCAGCACATATGGACCCTTCTGTAATAGTATCAGTATGCACTTGTTAACATTTTTCTAGATATTACTTCATCTTCGGCTTTTATATAACAAGTGGAAAGGAGCCCCAGTTATTAATGGAGACTATTTGCTAACAATATATGTACCCTGTCAAGTACACATTCATACATGTTTCAACATGATTTATGAAGTTGTTAATTGTACTAAAATTAACACAATTAAAACAATTTTCAATGAATTAACTTTTTATATTGAACATTTAAGAGAAGTAGATTTCAATATAATACATATTATATTGAAATAATATGTAACAAACATTCCAAAACAATATTGATTTATAATAATAAAATAGTAAAATTATTGATATGTACTGTAAAAGTAGTTAATATTATTATTATGTTATAAATGTGTTAAATTTGCTAAAAACCAGTTCTATATTTACCTTTCACAGGGCGTGGCAAAGCCGGTACGTCTGGATTTTGATATGTGGCGGCCATAAGCCGGTGAAGGGCATGTAGTGAGGGGAAGGTGGGGTGCAGTGGTTGCTGCAGGAAGAAGTGGCCCGCGCTCACCAAGCACGTCATTATTGTGTCATTGTTCACAGACTCCACAAGCTGCAACTGAGATATTCAGCATACAATGTTCACAAATTTGAATATGTTAACAGAAAAGCCAAAGTAGCATACACTTTTTTTGTTATAAGTATAATTATTTAAGCCTCATCCTCACTATTTGTTGATATTTGTGGAAAAAATGTTAATATTGTCACTCAAATATAAATTAATGGGAACAGAAGAGGCATTACTTAATAGTGGTATACTACTGTTGTCTCGATAACATAGGTTATACCATTATTAAAAAAGAGTATATAAAGATTAGGCTATAAAAGTGACATATTATATAACGCATAAATTATTATAATAAGCAATGTGTTTAACAAATAACTACTTCACAAACTTAAAATTGTGAAACTGGTTTCATGAATAAACTAAAATAAAAATAATTAAAAAGCTGACTTTTAAAATTAAGAATACATTATCTTTCAATTTATATCAAAATAATCTTAAGCTGTTATCTATAAGAAATATTGACAAATATTTGGAAAATAATCATGTAAGAATATATTATTATCTTTATTTCAATTTTTACATGGTTTTATATATATTTTTTAGTAAAATTTAATATTTATTCATTTTTTCAAAAACTTTTTTTTTTTAATATTAGTATATAAGAAATATGCTATTAGAAATGGAGTGGTAAAGTGGCACTTTATTTAAACTGGGATAAACTTATTTCAAACTTACATATTCTTTGTTTTAATTAATTATAAGTATTTATGAAATACAAGTTAAAGTTTAACTTGATATAGAGGAAAATCATTTAGTAATGAAAACTTTGTAATGAAAGTGTATGCAATAAACATGGATAACAAGCAGTTGTTAATGTTAAAACTACATCTTACTGGTACTAACTTATCTAGTCAAGGATAGTGAATGTTGTATAATTATATGAAATAAATCTTAGCAAATTCTACTAAACAACAACATTGTTCACTTACTTGTAGGAAATCTGGTACCAATGGAGCCAGTCTTTGATATAATTCTGCACTAATTTCCTGCATGCAAAAGTTGGGAAACCTTTTCTCTGGGAATTTTTCTTTTATCACATCTAAAGCTGCTTCTATTTCACTTTGAGTTCCTATAAAAGGTCATGGATTAAGAGTGAATTATTATATTTTTTTATATTTTTATGATTATCTGTAGAAAATGGCTAGCCTGCAACATTTGTTACAATAATTAAAATAAAAATTATCCAAATAATTAGATTAATAATAATTGAAGAACTCATGCATTTTTTTTTTTTGGAAGTTATTAATTACTCACAAACTAATCCCTTCCATCGTCACCCATAAACAAAATAAAATTTTATTTTAAAATGAGTAAAATTACATATATAAAATGGGGTATATAGTAAATATGGTCTACTAATGGCCTGCTTCTGAAAACTACAATAAACCATACCTTCTACTGCACAAATCTTTTGTTTAACAGAATCAGGATGCCTTCTCACATACACACTTGCACCAGTTTTGGCTTTAATTTGGGCCACAAATGAGCCATGTTTTCCTATTAAAAGACCGACTAAGGTTTGTGGTATTATAAATTGATGTATTCTAAGCCCTGTATCAGATGGGATCATATTCAAATTTGCTGGAGGTGGGCTAGCTGCTTCTGAACATCCTTTACCACTGTCACTTGAGCCCTGTATAAAAAGTTGCATATATATAGCATTGAAAGATTAATGTCAATTTAAAAAGTATAACAATAAATAAAGTATAATTTAAAAAGTAGGTTAACTTTAATAAAATGTTGAAATGTATGGTACATTAAAGGTTGTGTTAAATGTCAATGATATAATGACATAATAATGTACTCACCTCACTGTGGTTATCTGAAAAATGACACATTGATGGACTAGCTAGCATAGGATCAACTGGACTGTGATTTGCAGAATCTCTCTCTGAGATACGTCTAGTTTGCGGTGCAGAAAATCTATTTTCACTTTCATTACTATCACTAGGTTCATCTACTACATTATTAATAATATTTAAATCTTCTGTGTCTGTCACTGTACTTTCTTTATCAGCATCAACTTCAGATGCAACAGTATTATTTGTTGAACTATCATCTTGATAATTTTCTTCAGACTTATTGTGGTTATTTTCTATTAATATAGCTGTATCACTATTTACTATTTTTGTGGTACAAGCATCTACATCATTTATAGAATAATTTGTTTCTGTTTGAAGTGACAAGAAAGGTGCTGCTGCCTTGTTAATAACAAAAGTAGGCTGCTTGGAAGATGAGCTAACCACTATATGATTTTCATTGAAAGACATCTTTTTGTCTTTTTCTAAGGATTTCTTTCTTATAATCTTTTCTATTTCTATATCAACTTCTTCATCGGTTAATTCCAGAGGGGATGACCGCTGTGAACCACTACCATTAGGAACAATATTGATTGGTGCAGATTTTACTATGGAGCGATCAGTATTGCTTAGTGGTGAAGCTTTTATATCTTCTGCTTCACCATTCAATGCTTCAGCTAACTCCTCTTTAAGACTTTTTATCCTTTCTCTTCCACCTGGGTCAGATTTTGCAAATTCTCTCTTTTTTCTGAACCAAAAAATCCCCAATAAGACTGCTATAGATGGTACTGACCACATGAGTAGTTGGCGACATGGAGCCATTGTAAAGAGCCACTTTTAACAATCTGAAATAATAATAGAGTTGTCATAATTTTGAAGAGTAATACTAATTTATATTATCATTAAAATAATATGATAAATGTTAACAAAAATATAATTATGCAGATAGGAATTGATATACAATTTCATACATAAAACATGCATACGTTTTATGGGAGGTAATGCAATATTTAGAACAAATGTTCAATTGGATTAAATTTTGTTTATAAATATATATATATATATATATAATTTAAGTACTCAAATTTTTAAATAAAAAAAAAATATATATTAAGTTCTGAACCTAATCTACTGGGTAACTTGTTCTAAATTTTAAACTAATACATGCAATAATGTACTGAATGTCAAAATTCTTAACAACACAAGAAAAATATTGATAGTTAAAGATAATCAAGTGACCTACTTACTTGATATGATGCCATATTATTAGTAAAATTGTATTGTTACCAAATAAAAATGATCCGTGTCTATATGAAATAGGTTATTGAATGCACATGTGTATTGTTATTATCAATATATGAAACACAACATTCGAAATATTGTTCTAATAATAAAAACACTTTTCTTATAAATTAATATGTCAATATTTATTGTGTAATGATTTTATTTAATGTGACGGCGTGGAACGTTGATAATGAAAATCGCTCTACGCAAGCATGGGTCACAACACAGGAAACACTAGCCACCGATCACCTATCACTTTCTGTAGGTATGGGCAAGCAATAATTATAATACTATTAACTCTCACACCATAATCATTAATAATTATTTTATTATATAAAACAACGTGTTACAGAATTTTCAGCGCGTAAATACAAAATAGTCAATCAACGAGGGTCACGAGCAATATGCGAAACCTACAGCCAACACGTAAGCAAATGTGGTTACAGAATGGAAGGTTACGCAATTTAATCTCTGTCAAAATATACATATGAGATATGCTCAAAAACGGATTACTATTGTTTGATTTTATTTATTTAGGTGTTAGCGTTGAAGCATTATGACCTATGAGCCTACTGACCAAATCCAATGATAAAAATGTGGAAATCGCCGGCGGTAACGGAGAAGTGATATACTTACTTTGATATCAAACAAATAATGTTTCCACTTTCAATTAAATAACTGACAACAATCCAAATAGGTGTGGTAACTGATTTAACTATCAAATTTCGCTTAAATTAATCCAACAATCCACGTGCTCACAATGTTTTTTAGGCACAACAAAATTCAATATGGCGACATACGGCAAGTTGCCAACATTTAAAAAATAAACGACAATACTTTAATTTAGATCAATTTATTCGATTTGTCAACATATACAACTAATAATATTGATTCTACTTGACTGTAATTTATATGTGCAGATTATTAATATAGTATTCAAAAACGTTGAAATTTAAGGCATAAAATCAAAATTTTTGTGGCTCTAGGTGGTGCCAACCATAGAGATAATTTACATGGAGGAATAAATAACAAACGAATAAGCCAATCGAGCGAGATGCACGATAACGACAACACTGTATGAGAGAAAGAGAGTAATATAATGATCAGCAGTAGTATTCAGTATGTAACGATAAAAAAAGAACTAAGTGATGCCTGTTATTATGGTCTCGTTAAATTACTAGTTGTTCGTTTCGTTTTTAGACCACAACCGGTACGTTCTTTATTTTTTTTCCGCCTAAAAATGTTTGACGTATTTTAGATCGCAAGTGTTTTACTGTACTTTTTCTATACAGTTATTATTTTTGACTTACATAAGTAGCAAAAAGGTCCCATATAAATCTTTAATTTAATGATGTTTGTCATCTAGTTATAATTAAATAACTACAATAAACAGTTTCATCGTTTTACAATATTATATTAGCTGTTTGCGAATGGTATACATTGGCGAATCTACTGAGTAAATAATCACTACATTAGGCGGTATCAATGTTAGTTAGCTTCACGTGACTTTATTAGTAATCATGGTACCGCGTGGAGGTCGATCTAATAATATAGATAAATTTTTAGCCTTTCCACCTTATAACCTATGAATTTGCTACGTGACATAAAATATATATTAATTTACTATTTTTGAGATGAAAGATTGTGTCATGACATAATTTATTAGTGTGTATCTCTTGAGTAGTATATTCTTTGGTGTGTATCAAACAGTACATCAGTTTAGGCGTATGTTAGTAGCAAAGAATAAAGTAAATATACCAAAAGGGTTAGTAGTAGGCAGTATATTCTTTGGTAGTAACAAACATACACCATGAACTTAATTTATTTTAATAAATATATTTTCAATTACATACATGAACGTATTACCAATTTTCATTTCACAAATTTAAACTTTGATATGTATGTATAAACGATTTGCAGTTCAGTTGCAGTTTCAACGACTCTGCATTTAAGTTAAGCAAATAATGCGAACACGTGGTATTTCCATATTCGCAAAAATAAGATATTAAAATCTGTTTCTAATAGGATTCGACAAGAAACAAACGATTTTAAACAATTTATCACCGTAATAACAGGCCATCCCAAGTTAAGCAGAACTTGTGGATTAGGTACCAAACAACAGATAGAAATACTTAATATTTTTTTATAAATGGATACGTATTAGTTATACATAGAAAACAACCAGACCACTACAAAAAATCATATTTCTAAATGCAAATGTTAGAACTGTGCGAGGAATCCAATGCGCTACCATCGGAAGTGGGGCGATGAGCAAACCGCCAGACCAACGAAGATAATTCCAAGACTATCATGCATAAAAAAATTATTTAAATTGTATAAATGAACCACTTTTCTATAATGCCACTTAAGACTGTAAATGTAGTCCGAAGTTTAAACCACCAACTTAATGGACCTATTCTTTAAAGACCGATCACGAAATTAGTATTCCAACTTTCACTGTTATTTGAAATTTTGAAATAGTTGACTACTTAAATATTTCGAAAGCAATTTACTTTTAATGGATTACACTGCAATGATCTGCCTGCGCTATCGTATACACTGCTGCCGGTGCACATGGAAAGTTTCCAAGACAAACTGTGTGATCCTACCTGACTTGGTGCTTTTCTAGCATGGGGCCATTAATTCCCATTCTTCAATATCTACTTCCCCTTATCTAAAAGCATTGTTTATATTTGAGATATAGGAGGAATTGACAGTTTTAGGGGTAGAAGATTTCAATAGAAGAATCATTATTTATCAATCAATACATTGTACAATACTCAGTAAATACATTGATTTTAGTGAGGTATACTTTTCACTAACTGATACATAGTGGCTTCTACTTTATACCACATCTACCAACAAAGTATAAAAAACAAATGGTTTATTTTTATTACAAGTTATCATGTGGTCTACTTATCTAAGTGAAAGTTTGTAGTCTGTATTATCTATTATTTCCTCTATCTCATATTTCACTTGTATTACATACTTTTCCATTTTTACTTTTCACTATATAATCAATGTGTAGCACTTTGATAATAACAAGTAATAATACAGATACAGTAGCTTGGACAACTATCCATAAGTTTCATGTTGTTCAGATGTGACCTAAGTTAGTACATCTCCGGTAAAGTCATAGTGTACAGATGGACGGGATTTCATCTGATTGTATGCTATGGGCTATGTGCTGGGTTGAATTCTGTCCATATTCATTATTACCATCGAAATGCTTTTGTGGATATCTCATTTTACTACCATGCACTATCCTTAACCAGTGATAAAGAGATTTGTGTTAGACAATAAATACTCATTTGTTAACATTATTTTAAATGAATTTACTTAAATAATTTATTCATTAAATATATTAAATGTGTGTTGTGTATTAACAAATATTGACTCTTTGGTGCAGTCTATTGTTCCGAATAATATGTAGTAAAGATTTCCATTAAAGCAATATATATTTATCAATTATTGCTAAATTGATGTTGCTTTGATGAAACATATTTTATATTATTACATTTTATTAATATTAAAAAGTTTTATAATACATTTTATAGTTATAGGCATATAACCATAAAAGTGAGATTAATTTTAATGTCTACCGCCAATTTAATACATGAAACAATGTAACTTTCATCAATGCTGTTTAGCAGAGGCTACCAAGTTAACCTATATTATTTCTTCCACTATCAAAGTTAGCTTCAAGTTTATGCAGTTGCAAATTACCATCATGTCTGTGTTGGTATCTAGGTCGATATCTGTAATATTAATTATAACCTACCATATTTAAAATATTAAATCTTTATATTCAAGTACTGTTAAGTCACAGTGACTTTTATTATGGTGCTATTTCAGGGTATTATATTATTTTTCTATTCATCAGTACTTTGCTAACATATTTCAGCTTGTATATCAGGTAATGATTTAAGGTGCTAGTTAGTGATAACCATGTGAATTAGGATGGAAAGTATCCTATGTATTTATCTATGTGTAAATTTCTTATTTGTAATATAAATAATATTTCCTATGAAATTCAAATGATAATAAATTTATCATACATATTTAGTTCTGTCTATGTTGTGTGATATATTTGCCTACTAGACACAGATTTCAATGTCTTTTTTTTAAACAATTGATAATATTTACTCCTAAATTGATAATCTTGTCAGCTTTTGGTGCAATTTATATTATGTTTTAAATTCTTGTATTAACTACAGGATTTTGCATTACTTTGTTTATTGAATATAATTAATAGGTAATTCATAATGTGATTTCATATGAAATAAGAGTAATCAAATTGGTTGGATTTATATATTTAATAATTTATATACATTCCTTAAAAATTTAAGAATGACTCTAAATATTAATGTGTAAAATCAATTCAAGGAATGTTCCACAGAAAATTTGTTTTCTTCTATTGTTAATATAAGGTTTTGTGATAATTTATTTATTATATTGACAATCGTTTACCATATATTATTGACATTTACACTGTAATTTCGAGTAATAAATACTGATAGTAATAGTACTAGGTATACATTATTTCTAATGTTTGAAAATTTGCAGAGCTTTACAAATTCACAGTCATGTTTATTTATAACATCAAAATAAATTTACATAGACTTACTGTAAATATTATTATAAATAGAACTAGAATTTTATATAGCATCAACCGCATCTGCTTCATCTTCGGAACTGACTTCATCTCCGAATTCGATATCCTCGTCCAAACCATCCACAGAATAGACAACAGTCTCATTGATGCGCACTGTTTCTGGAAATTCTCCATAGGTTTTAAGATTCCTTGCCTCATCAGGGGTGTATTTCAAGATGACATCTGCTTTAGCATCTTGGTAATCTCTTAAACCAATTAGTATAATATCGCCTTGATTAATCCAAACCTTTTTTCTTAATTTGCCACGAATATGACATAAACGTTTTATGCCATCAAAGCACATGGCCTCCAGGCGGCCATTACCGAGCATTTTTGTGACTTGGGCGTACTCTTGGCCATCTTCTTTGAAGACCAACTCACGTTTTTCTGTTTCGTTTTCATTTTTACCCCTCCTCCTATTTTTACCACCTTTTCCTTTGTTTTTCGGCATATTTTATATAATTTTGAGTACAAACATATACAACTAGACTATGAAAATCTCATGGATTTGTTGTACTACACAAAGTCGAATGTAAGACGTCGTGGTTTGACAGGTACATCAATAACCAACGGTTTGACGTAAGTATACGTAGATAATCTATGGTTTGACATTTACTTCTATTTCAGTTTTAAGTCTATCACAAATAGAGAAAATCGAAAATATATCCATTATTTTAAAATTATGACATACTAAATTAAACAATTATTGTAACAACAATATTAAAGAGAAGTAAGTCTGTCTGATCTAATAAGTTATATATATATAGAAATTAATCACTGTATGTAATATTATGCAAAGAATTCATGCGTTATGTATGTAATTTTTCAGTCAATTCAGACAAATGAGATCAAGATTTTAAAAGCTTGGAAGGGTCTTGAGAAGCATAGACATTTTTACCACCTACATTTACCAAATAAGTGATATACGTACTGAGTAATTTATACTTTTATATTTTTTCATTAAATTTTTATTTGTATTGTTATTCGATATACTGAGTATATGTAATATAAAACGAATTTGAACATTACAGTGATACCAAAATTGCATCAGGATGCGAGAAATAGAAAGAGAGCTCCCGTTTAAACATTTTGTCACATTCGCACTGTACCCGAATTGTATACTCCATTCATAAAAAACTTACAGAAAAAGTAAACAACTATGTATTTTATCATCGAAAATATTACAGAAGCACTTACTAAAAGGAAATAGTAACACATTTTTAGGACTCTTGATGTTTTTAACAATATATGACCATTTTTAGTAATGGTATTTATTTATGTTTACTCTAAATTGTATCTCAAATATATCATTCGATTATTCATAATCATAATTAAGTGACCACATTTAATTATATTGGTACAGAGTTTAGGTCAATATAATTAAAAAGCAACATAATTTAAAAAACAAAAACGTTGGAATTGGTGGGTGTGTTTTTGTTGCAGATTTTATACATTTTATTCAACAACATCTTAGTAATCATATTAGTTATTTAGTATTTATTTTTTGTTATATTCTTAAATTTAGTTTGCGTATATAGTGTGCTGCTACATAGATAAGTTTATCGTTTTTATTTAGGTAGTTCTTACTGGATTGTAATTCTGACCAGATGGGTTTTAGATCCTCGCTCCCCAGCTTCGTTATGATATTATGTGAATCTGGTATGCTACAGATGCATCTGGTTCTTTTCGACCAGTACGTACCTACAAAGGAAACGTTTATATGGATATTGGCAAAAATTCCAATCAACTACTATAAAAAATAAACCTGAATAAAAAAATATAAAGATATCGGTTCTAAAAAATGTATAAAAGACCGTATTTTTAAAACTTCAAACTTTTCATTCATCTTTCAAACACAAAAGATTTAAATATGCTCTCTCCCTCTAATGGCTGTGCGCTTAACAGTCAGTATATAAATGAAGATTAATTAAATAGTTAAGATATTACAAAAGTTAATATTTCATTAATCAACTACGTATACAAATATAAAAAAATGTTTAGTAATGGACCAGGTAGTCCAATGGAATCGCAGAAGTATTACACTTCTGTATTTCCATTTACCAAAAAAGATATTTACAGAACTTAAAATCGTTTTATCTCACATTTATTTTGTGCAATAAAATAGATCCATCGAAAAGAACTCCGCCAGACCACCGAGACTGTCGTTATGTCCCCTACTAAGGCCGTGGTGCTTGCTTTGAGGGTGCCAGCATCCCAAAGCGTGTTCGAGTACCCCGCCAACCACCTTGAATGAGTAGGGCGAAGTAGCCGTCCTAAACAAGATAAGGTTTTCCTTTACAACAGCTACAGAAAAAAAAATAACACGGTCTCATGACCGGCCAGCAATGGCGGCTCAGAGGTGTTTGTGTGTCAAAAAACATTAAAATCAATACACCTCTGAAAATCACCTATAAAATATTAGTCCTAGTGTCTCATAATTATTTATGTTAATTTTTGAGAATATTGACAATTGTTTTCGGCAATATTGAAAACTTGGTCTGCGTATGCATTTTATTATTAATGGTCTTTAAATAGGTAACCTTGTGAGAATTATATTTTTAGGCCTTCCAAGTTATACTATACTATAAATTCACAAAATGGACACTAAGCATCGGGCTGGTTTAATTTCATCGTCGTTACATGTAAACAGTTTAATTCAAAGGACAAAGTTTATCTATTAAAATACCAAACCAGATCGATCTATTAAAAATATCAAAACTGATCGAAGTACTCATTTTGGTTATATTAATTTAATATTGTAAATTAGATACCGTATTTATTATCGTTATTATTACCGTTATTATCGTATCCAAATGATGTAAATCATAGTCAAAGTAGTGAATACATATGATGTCGCGGCCTTTTCTTAAAACTATTTACTTATAATTAAACATACATAATCAGCCCAATTTACATAATGTCTTTTTAAGTTATATCCTATGTTTTATTCTGATGTATGTATATTACAGCAGTTTTATCAATTTGCATGGACGAGGTAGGTACAAATATTCGTTCAGGCATCATTAAAAAAACTTCTGCTTTTATAATATTATTAGGATTTACAATAGGACAACAATAGCCACAACAGTTTGTACTTCCGTATATTAAATTCATTAACTATTAATAACGTAATTGCATAAATTACTTTTTGACGACCAAAAGTTTATTAGATATGTAATATAAATTTACAGTAGGATAAGGACAGGATTATTTTTATTTATTTAAAAAAAAAAGATGAAGTAAGAATTAGTTCTAAATAACTACTTAGGTATTTACACCTCGAGCGAAATATGTTCTCCAGTACCTACCGTATCACATCGTGGCTGATGTCAAAGACCTAGTAATTAAAGTTTAAAAACCTAATTAATACATATCCTGAGAAATTAAAAACAAGGCTTAGTTAAATTATGTAATATTATCCTATCTGTGGTTAAAGACACTATCAACAATAGATATCAACATATGTTTCGAATGGTAGATAATTGGTGTTGCATCCATGATTCATTATCGTAAATACGTATGCATAATGCATTCTACTATTTGTTTCCTTTTCACGACTGAGCGGATTTCAATGATATTTGACGTGAAAATAGTTTGTCTCGTAAAGACAGACATACGCTATTATTTATCAACAGAAACGCAGATGAAGTTGTGGACTGGTACCTACAGATTATATTTGTGAAGCCCATTAAGTTGCCAGCGAGCAACAAATTTTGTAAGTATTCCTGTTATAAATGGACGATAGCTGTTTTATATGATATTTTATAATAATATGCAGTCTATATTTTATATTTTATATTTATTAGGAAGCTTATAAACTTACACAATGACAGATAATTAACAAGAGAGAAAGTAACATTATTAGATTAATCAACATCACACATTGACATTGACATTGACATTGACATACTTCACCTTCCCCTTTAGCTTACAGATCTAACACCCTTCTAGGCTTAGTAGTTCTACCATATCTAGTAGTTACACTTAGTGGTACTTGATTCCTACAGGTTATTACAGGTCTAGGTGAAATGGGAACATTTAGATTTATATCAGATTCCTGATCAAAATCTTCATTATAATTAGATAAAAAAGGATTGAGTTTCTTTGCACTTTTATAATCTGAAAAAGATTTTTTTATATGTTTAATATTCCTTCTTATTTTCCTATCTTCTCCCCTTTTGTATCCAATAAGATCTAGGTTCTTTACATTTTCCCACAATAATACCTTTTCTCCAAAATTTGTCTTTATCAGTCTTATGAACTACCTTATCTCCTATTTTATATTCCATTTCCTTTTTCTTAACAAACTTTTCTTTTTGCAACACTGACTGTTTTAGAAGTAGCAACTTATGTATATTTTCCTCAACCTTCGGATTTAATAATTTTTCATTCATAGGTAACAACGTACGGACTCTACGACTGTTTAGAATTTGAGACGGAGAAACATGCAATGTGGACAATGGTGTATTATTATAACTTAGGACATATTCTCTATAATCAACTTTATCCTCCTTAGCTTTACATAGAATCTTTTTGCTTATATGTACTGCCTTTTCTGCCATACCATTACTCTTTGGGTAATGTGGACTGCTAGTTATTAAACTTATATCTTTACTTTTAAAATATTTTAAACATTCAAAAGAATTAAAAGGGTTATTATCTGCAATAACTTCTTCAGGGTAACCAAATCGCATGAAAACTTCCTGGAATGCATTTATAACAGATGAAGAAGTTTTGTCAGATAATGGCAATACTTCAAGCCAATGTGAAAAATAATCAACTACAACTAAAAAGTATTTTCCACAAAAATCTAATATATCAGTACCTATTTTAGCATATCTTCTGTTTGGAATCTTGTGAAGTAACAAATTATCACTTTTATTAGAATCACTAAACTTTTCACAAGTCCTACATTTCATTACAAAATCCTTAATATCATTTGTAAGACCTGGCCAATAAAATAATTGCCTAGCTTTTTTATACACTTACAGATTCCAATGACCTTCATGAATTAAATTTAATACATAACTTCTCAATGATTTAGGTACAATTATTTTATTTTCTAGGAAAGCAATGCCATCTTCAAAATAGATATCATTTTTTAACTTATAATACTTTTTACACAATTCAGTAATTTTATTCATCTCTGGCCATCCATTAATATAATATTTATTTAATAAACTTAATGTTACATCAGCTTTTGTTTTATTTTGAAAATCTTGTTTTCTTTCTTTTGACATAGGCAAGTGTACAGTAACAGAATGTACTATTTGTGACATTTGATTATCATTTTCTGTAATACTTAGACAATTTCTTGATAACATGTCAGCGAAATGTAATAACTTTCCTGGTACATAATATACATTCAAATTATATGTAAATAATTTTAATCTTAACCGTTTCAAACGAGGAGATCCTATTTTACAAACTGGTTTTGACATAATTGATACAATTGGTTTGTGGTCTGTTTGAACATCAACATTACAACCATAAACATATCTATGAAACTTTTTTATACCAAAACATATTGATAATAATTCTTTTTCTGTCTGACTATAATTAAGCTCTGAATCATTCATAGATCTAGATGCACATGCTACTAACTTTAATATATTTTGATCATTATTCTGAAATAGACAACAACCTAATCCACTTTTACTTGCATCACATTGTGTCTAAAATAATTTTCTTTTTGGGGTCAAAAGGTGTCAAAGATGGTGCTGAACATATTTTTCTTTTCAGCTCAGTAAAAGTAAGACTATGAGCAGGTAACCATGTAAACTCAGAATTTTTCTTTAATAAATTGAAAAGTGGTGCCATTATATTTGCCATGTCAGGCACATACCTTCGTACATAATTGAAAGATCCTAATATTTGTCTCAACTCATCTCTATTACTTGGTTCTTTTAAATTAACTAATGACTCAACTCTATCCTGATCAAGTGACATTCCATATTCATTAAAAACTTGGCCTACATATTTAACCTCTCTTTGTTTATATTGAAATTTATTTTTATTGAAAACAATACCTAATTTCTTTGCTTTCTGGATTACACTCTGCAATGCTAAATCATGCTCTTTTTCAGTGTTTCCCATTACTAAAATATCATCAGCCCAAATAATAACATTTGACAACTCTGAAAAATGACTTTCAAGTACATCCTGAAATAATTCTGGTGCATTCATTAAACCATATGGTAAAACAAGATATCTATAAACTCCATAAGGTGTAGCAAAACAACACTTCCAAGATGAC